CTAACTTCCGCGCTATCTGGTTATTCTTGCCTTTGAAGGATTCTAACTTGAGCTTCGGAGCCCTTACGTCGGGTTCTCCCCGGAGCTTCTCTTCTCCTCCCGTTTCAGGTCCCCGTTACCCATTTCAGAGGCAAGATCATCGACAGCTAAGACCGGCCAGATCGTGCATCATCACTACCCATGGAAGTGGAGATGGAAATATGTTGTCAAAGCTATCTCTTGTACTCCACTTAGTGCTGGTAGTGTTCATTGAGGAATATGTCAATTCTAGTAAAATTTCGTGTTGCTACCCATGGAAATGGAAATATGCCATTGGAAATATTAGGGACATTTTACACCATGATTTGAACCCATACCATGCTTATACTTGTTCATCAATTGCAATGAGCTTATAGGGTAATTGTATCGTCCAATTGTGTAGCCATATGAATCTTGGTATTTATGTGGGGATGGGAAGGTACAAGTAAGCTTAGTTGGTTTGTTGACATAGGTGGTTCCAGGCCCACCCAGAAAATAGTTGGTCTTAATTGGATATTGGAGATCGACTGTTCCTTGCAGAAAACTGTTAAAAATAGAAGGAAAATGCGGATTAACTATTCTATAATTTTCAGGGATTATGTGCACATATGTACATAGGTATCTGAGTGGTCAGTTACCCACTGACATGTGAAAATAAGTTCAATCCAGTTCTCCATCTTCTGATTTACTTATTCACCATGTGGCTGCTGCAAGGTTTGGTAATCCTTTTGAATACTTTTGGCATGTGCTGGATGGTGCCTTGAGGTGTGCTTGACTTGAGTGCAAAATGATTTACTCAAAGGGGGAGAATTTTGAGGATTGTATGGAATTTGCTTTTGTTTTTTCCTGTTGGCCCCTTTTTGGAAAGAAAGACACTCCCAAGTCTTTGGGGAGAGAAGTGTAGGGAGGGATCCTTTGCACTGTATTCTTATGTTCTATCTGGAAATTATTTAAGAGGCATGAGATTTTGTTTTTTTGGGGTTCAGTGGCTGAACATGTTCTTTGAGGGGCACTTGTAAAAAAATGTTATTTGAGGGGCCATTTGATAATAGCTGAAGTGGATGAACTAAATGACTTATTGCTTTGTCTTTTAGTGAATAGGTTATTAAGGAGGTTGTGAGCTCCTTAATGATTGAAGCTGAAATTGTGTTTATATGTGGGTTATTTCTTTCTCATAATATAGTGCAATCTTATATTTCTATTAGGGAAATTATCTATAACCTCCCCTCAGTTAATAGGCAATGTCTTAAACTTCCCCTTCCTTTTAGATACCTCTAGAGAACTCCTTGTCAAGCATATTCTATTAATTGGTTAACAGAATATGTTGTTACTGTAATGCCCCCGTTTTCTTCAGAAAACTTAGCTTGTAGGCTTTTGAGCATTCCAGGTGTTGTTTTTCTCAATATTTTATCTGCAATTGAAAAACTTTTTGAGTATTCCTTTTTGCAACTTCTAATTCTTTTGCTTCTCCGTAGCATTTGTAGTTTTCTCCACATTATCCTTCTTCACCATCCTTGCTCGAGTCCCTTTTACTCGTCTACGATCTCCACTTCTTCATGCTCTACTTCTGTTTGTGTTCGTGTCTTCTTATCTTTGATGATTTGACAAGGAACTTTAGATAAGATCTTCATAGAGTAAATAACTGGGCCTCCAATCTTGACTATTCTAGGGAATTTTTTGTATGCTCTGTTTTTCCCTGCATGAAAGATGGTTTTAAATGATACATAATGTCAATCAAACTTGGTTTCATCAGACACATTTTGATTTTGGTCAAATCTACCTCAGATATGTGTTAACACGTGTTATATAACCTGTAATATATATTGTTCTAAGCTTATTTTGATATAAAATAACTTTAAAAGGTAACCTGGATTCTTTTTGTTCATTTTACTTGAATAGGTTTAATGGTTGAACTAGATGGGCTGATTGTTTGACCTGTAACCCAGTGGCTAAAATGATTGTATTGAGTCCAAGTCTGCAACAGTGGTTTCTCTGAATTAGATAACATGCTTTTTCTATTTACTCTCATTATTCCTTTTCTCTACAGAGCTAATGAAACCCTGGCTTCTCTAACTTAATGGCTTTGGGATTGTTATCTTGTTTTCTTATTCATTGTGTGCTTTTGTCATTGTTCCTCTTCTCTTAGAGCGTAGATGGTGGAGAGATCCAAAGGAACAATCTGGTGATAGAGAATCAGACAAGGGTGGGTCAAATGACATGCGGCAGAAAGATGAGAAGACCCAATCTAAAGGAGAAGATAAGAGTGTTTGGCACCACGATGGGTTCTTTCAGTTGGAGGCAGAAGCACCCCCGCAGGCAAAGAAAAGACCCGCATTTAGGGAGAAGAAGATGCCACCAGATTCTGGAGCAGAAGGCATAAAACCAGCAGAGTCTGTCAGGCCTAGCCGTCCTGATCGCCCTGTATCAGGGAGTGAAAATAGGGAGGAAAGAGGAGGGCGTCATTTTCGTGATATGGACAGAGATGAGAGACCACTCACAGGAGACCGGGCCCAACCATATAGGAGTGAAGTACAGAGGTCTGGCATTCCTCCAAGAGAAAGGTTCAGTGGTGGCTCTGGCTTTAGGGGAAGAGACAGATACAGTGGAAGGCATGGGGAACAGAAGCAGTATCGGCATAATACATACCGTGTGGAGAAATGGAAGCATGATCTATTTGATGAAGCTAATAGGAGTCCTACTCCAAAGAATGAAGAGGACCAGATTGCTAAGGTTGAAGCTCTGCTGGCCTTGTAGCAATGCAGTTGCAGGGGTTCCAGTTCCTACGTGTTTGTTACCAATTCTTTTGTGTCTGAGTGAGTGCGTATGTCGTTAACTAAGTTAGAACTATGGCAAGAACTATGAATTTGTCTTGAGTAAACAAAGATTCCCTAGAGATTTTGTGAAGTTTTAACGAGTGATTATTCAATAAGCTCTCTTTCAGTCATGAATCATGACCATGCCTTAACGTGTTTATCGTTCATTGGCTCCAAAACTGAGAAATAGAATAATTGTGAAACTTTTCTATTTTGGAGTCAAATTATTTATTAAGTTTTATGCAAGACTAGGTAAATCGCCTTCATTGCATGGATGATGAATTTTCAACTTTTAAGCGATGTTTTTTTTTTTAAAATTTAAGTATCAAAGATTGATAGACTGTAAAACATTTAGAACGGTCCTGGTGCCATAGCAACTCTTGTCTTTTGACATCATTAGGCACGTGCCGTAACCACTTAAAACACTTGCATTAAAAGAGCGAAATCACCATCCTTGGGGCTGGAAAAGGCAGGAATTATTTGAAACTTGGTAAGCCTAAGTAGTTTATTTGTTAGAAGTTAGAACTAGGAAAAGAACATCAAGTTAGTAACCATTAAGTGGTTACCACATATTTCTGTAGCCTCATAAAGTCCAATTTGGCAAGCTCACTGATTCCCCCAACAACACTATCTCAATTGGCGCTTACCACAAAAAATAAGAGAAAATATAGATATAGTCTCAAAATTGACACAAAATATGAATAATAAACACATGATATTTGCTGAGAGAAGAAATTTGAATCATAATGAGAAGCAGAAATGCTTGCTTTTCAATTGGCAAGGGCCCTTCACAGGAAGAGAAATAAGACTCAAAATTGTTGCAGATACAACAAATATCTGTATTATTGTCTGAAATTTCTCACAAATTGCAAATAAACGAGAATCCAATTCATGCATCGTTTTTTTAGCAAACAAATCCAACCCATAAATTTAGTGGTCAAAACTTGCATGAATTTTTCTTGATCAGCCTATACTGAGGTAGGTTATATGCCTAAAATGAAACAATGGACACAAACTAATTGGTACAAACTTTGGGTAAATGGCCTCTTCTGAAGGTGGGTCATAGGCAAGTGTGGTGAGTTTATTGGCTACACTGATTGTTTGATCTGAAAGCTTTGCATATGGTCTGGCATAATAGGATGTGTTTCTCTACATGCCACAACCTCTGGTAAAGGCCTTGATTTAACACAAAACCATTTGGAAAATTGCTAACTATATGCATAATGAGTAGCTATGTAAGACAGTAAAATTGTTTTCAGTGAATTCTAAATCATATCAAGGCAATGAACTTAAAAAGTTTACCAAACCAAAAGTAGAGATGAAATTAAGGGCCATGCAGTGCTTTTCTGTATTAGTGTATCGATACTCTTAAAAATATTCAAATGAATGAGAGTGGTAAACTCTCATAACATTATGAACAAAAAGTTACTTGAGTAGTTTGCACTTTGCACATTCAGAAATGACATGAAATTGGTTTTCAACAAAAACTAGGATAGAACTAATTACCTATTGCTGCTTTTTGTACAAGTTATTTATAAAATTTTCTTCACTGCATTCTTTCTCAAGTTATATGCCCATTTACGCACTGCAGAACCAGTACATGAATTTTCAATGGTCTATCAGATGCAGGGCTGGTGGACAAAAGGAAGCCTACCACTTGATTTGTCTTGTCAAAGGGGGTATTTTGTTCTGAATCTGATGATTTCAGTTCATCTGAGCTATTGGCTTCTTGCAATATTACGGTGAAAGAAATTGTTTAGTCCAGGGCAGAAACTTTCTTTGCAAGGTAACTTGGGGATGGGGATGGAGAGTAGGGGTGATCATGGGCCAGGCAAGGATTAGCACCTATGATAAGGGCTATAGTCTATGCCCGGGCCTGAAATATAAGCCTGGGCCTTGGTCTGTATGGGCTCGGGCCAGGCTTTGGGCCTATGCCATTAATACATTATATTTAATATATTATACAACTTATAAAAGATGTTATAATTTATATAAATATAATACACTATATTATGTGCCGATATAAAATAAAATATATATACTTAGGTATATACTTTATATATTGCAGGCTGAGCTGTAAATAATCATCCCTACTGGGGAGGGTGAAGTTAGGATTTGATCCCAGGTCAGTAGGAAGTGGGAAGTGGGAACTACATCCACTACTTTACCAGATGATCAACTGATACCTTCCGGTGCAGAGCAGATACTAGTGGAGCAGATGCCTGTGGAAACCATATTTAGTTGTTTCCCTGCAGCGTGGTTCTCTCCATAGGATGTTTTTAGATGCAAGCAGCTGTTGCTTGTATCTTCAGATTAAGACCTCATTGTTATCGCCAACTTGAAGCCAGCTACACCCAGGTTCCTTTCTCATCCCTCTGTCTTTCATCTCTTTCCTCAGTTTTTGCACATATTCCCACCTCCCTGCGGCTGCAAACACATTTGATAGAAGTACCAAAGCAAGTGGTTCGGTGGGATAACCTGTTTTCATAATTTTATCTGCAACCTCTATTCCTCTCTCCAATTCTCCCAAATTCTTACAAGCAACTAGAAAGGTCAACCATAACGAGTCTCTATGCTCTGCTGGAGATCCTTGAATGAATTCCTTGGCCTCTTTGAACCTCCTTCCACCAGCCAAGAGGTGCACCATGCAGACCAAATGGTCTCTCTCAGGCTCTATCTCCATCGCATAAAACACGCTCTGCCCAATATCAACAAGCCCTCCATGACTACATGCAGATAAAACACAAGTATACGTTATGTTATTAGGCTTCAACCCTTCTCTTATCATCTCTTGAAAAAGATGGATAACATCCATTGCTCTTCCATGGTGAGCCAATCCTCCCATCATTGTTGTCCATGAAATAAGGCTTCTTTCTTTCATAAGCTCAAAGATTTTAAGTCCATCTTCTAAATTGCCACATTCTGAATACATGTTGATCAAGGAATTCTCCACACGAATTTTGCCATCGAGGCACATTTTTACACCTAACGAGTGGACCTGCTTGCCATAGTCGAGCAAGACTAGATTGGTGCAGATCCCCAAAACTGTAGTCATAGTGATCTCATCTGGTTGTAGTTCGGATTCCATGAAAGCAGCAAAGACTTGCAGTCCTCCTTCTCCTTGACCACTTCCACCATACCCTTCAATTAAAGAGTTCCAAGAAGAGACATCTTTCAGACCTATCTCTGCAAAAACCACAAGCGCATCTTCCATGTTCTTGAACTTAGAGTACATTCGTATCATTGTGCACCCAGTGAAACAATTTGAATTTAAACCTGTTTTAATTGCAAGTCCATGGAATTTCTTCCCCTCTGTTTCATCATCCAAAGTGGAACTAATAGCAGCGGAAAGGGAAAAACAACTGATTCTCACTCCTGACTCTCTCATCATACAGAACTTTTCGAGTGCAGTTTGCAAGAAGCCATTTTGTGAGAACCCAGAGACAAGAGAGTTCCAGGAGACCTGGTCTGGTTGGATAATCTCGTTGAAAACCATCTCAGCTTCGAAAGCCCGCCTGCAGGCCATGTAGAGGGAGATGAGAACGTTGGAAACCAAGATATGCGCGAGAAAGCCTCTCTTAAGTGCATGGCAGTGGAGCTGGCAGTAAAAAAAGGAGAAGAAAAAAGAGTCAAATTCAAAATCCAAATGCTCCAAAAATACGGGGGCCAAGCACCGATAGTTGGTGGATCACCTGGATTCCTTGGAACTGGAGCTGTTGTTTGGCACAAGCACTGATAGCGCTGGCGTATGTGAATTGGTTGGGAGGAGAAAACGGGTCCTGGGAGACCATGAGCAAGAAAAGCTTAAGAGCACCATCAGCATTGCCGAATTGGTCGTAAGCAGAGATGAGCGCTGTCCAAGAAACAGTGTTCCTTGTCGACATTTCGTCGAACAATCGATGCGCCCAGTCCAACTTGTTGCATTTGGCGTAAAGATTGACGAGGTGATTCCGCACGTACAAGTCGGAGTCCAACAGAGGAACTCGTTTGAGAATGTTGGCATGGATTGAACGGCCCATATTAAGAGATCGTTGCTTTGAACATGCGCCAAGTAAGGAGCCCAGGACAGTTGGGGTCCATTCTATAATGGCTGTGGCGGGCATCTTGTTTGTGAATTGTGATTCTGGTTCCTGTTCGATATTCCTGCAGCTGGCAATTCTTGGCCAAGGTGATAAAATTTCTTTCGGTTCCAATTTATCCAAATGCAAGAGAGAGCAGTTTTTTTTTTTTTCCCTTTTTTGTTTTCACTTTCTTGCCGACACTTGTTTATAAACACTGCTATCGCTGATCACACATTAACATTTGGATGAAAACATTTTCATTTCATTTGGGTTTGGAGGGGCTCATTTTATCCATTTCAAGGCCTTCCAGGGCATTTGATCTCTGATTGAATGTTGGGTATTGGCTTCAATAAATTCCTTAAGGCTATCCCAAGATCTTGCCACTACCTCCCGAGGAGAAGCTGATAAATTATTAAATAACTTAGGCTATTTTTCCCCCATAACCATTAGATTTCCTCACTTGATTTTTATTTTAACATCATTTTCCACCATGGTTTTCAAAACCGGACCGGAAAAACCAGGAATCGACCAAATGATTAGTTTCGTTTTTCCCTAAAACCGTTATTTTACCAAAAATCATTGATTTGGTTAGTAAAATGTTGGCTCAGACAGTCAAATCGTTCAAACCATTTGAACCGTCCAACGATTTGACCTTTTTTTTGTCAGAATGGACTGTCCGTTCAATTAGAATAATCGAACCGTTCAACCTGAAAACCCAGATCCTTGACTGATTTATTGTTCGATTCAATTTTAAAAACCTTTTTTCCCACGACCTAGTGAGATCCCATTATGGTTTTTGCATGAGGATCCCCATTTGGTGGTCAATTATTCTCCAAACTTGGCTCACTAAGCATTTTGCTATTATGTGGTCTCAATCCTCTATATTACCACATATTGGGCAGTTGGAGTCTATATTGAGCCATTTATTAGCGAGGTGCTTTCAAGTTGGAAGTTTATTAAAAAATTAAGTCGCAAGAGTACTTTTTTTTTTAGGGCATTGGATTCGTCTAGAGTTTTTTTTTTATAAGTTTTATAGATGTTTGGTCCAATGTACTCCTAGTCCTTAAGAAGTTGTAGGCAGACTTAACTTTTACCTTCCATCTGAGGTCCCTAGTATCTCATGTCATCCACCTGATTGATTATGTGAATCAGTGAATGGCTTTTATTATGTTTATGATTTCTTGGGGTTCAGTTAGTAAGTTTTGAGATATCCCATCTATGATTCTCATGGTCAATAAACTCAACTACTGCTTTATTTAATTTGTATTGATGTTCTCCTCATCTTCTTCTCTAATACTCAAAAGTTTCCTTGATTGGCTTCAGGTCAATCCAGTTATTCACCCAATATTTACATTTTGAGCCATTGCCAATCCTCCACGTTGTTTCTCTTCCGATCCAATTCTTTTGTTAACTTATTTTTCTCCATGCCGAAGAACAATTTTTTGATGCCTTGTGGTCCAAGTAGTCATCTTGTTTCAAACATTTGTTTTTAATCACTTGAACCTACAAGTTATTTTGCTCATTCATAACTTTCCACCCTAGTTTCATTAGGTTTGATTGATTTGTTTGGTTCATCTTCTAGGCCCAATCCTCCATTTTTCCTATCTAAGCAAACATTATCCCATTTTGTTAGAGCAAAAATCTTATTATTTTGCTTTTTGCCCCACAATAATTGTTTTTGCAACTTAAAAAGAAAATCTTTAGGCTCCGTTTGGAAGGAGTACAAATACAAATATGCAGTGTAAAATCTTACGTTTTGTATTATTTTGTATGTATTTGCATTGTACATATTTATATTTATACTGCTTCCAAACTGAGCCTTAACCTCAGTTTAGAAAGAGTATAAATGTAAATATGTATAATGCAAATACATATAAAATAATACAAAATATAAGATTTTGCACACTACATATTTGCGTTTGTATTCCTTTCAAACTGAGCATTATTAGGCTCAATTTGGAATGAATACGGAGACAAATATATATACCACACAAATACATACAAAATAGTACAAAATAAAAGGTTTTGCACTCTGTATTTGTACTCATTCCAAACTGAGCCATAGGGATATCAAACATAATTTATAAACAAATGTGTTTATATAAATTAGAGACACCCTCTCCACACTAAGGGGCCTTAATGCTTAGCTCCTCAAATATTTGCATGTGATTACATGAAATATTTATAAACAATGTGACTTTTATGGCCTTAATCTTAACATTTATATAAATTTTCCCTTCACATGACCATTTCCATCAATTCACTACCTACATGGTTTGCATGTGACTTTCATGTGTGGGTTTTATTTAATTTTCAAATCCTAAATTGCCCTTATGTTATTTTTTAATACCATTTTCCCTTTCTAGTTTAATTTTTTTAAATACCTTAATTTTTACATAACTCTCTCAATAAATGGGATAATGACTCACTCTGTGTGTAAGTGCTATCGAGAAAGTGGTTCTTTCAACACCTTGAACGAGTGGTTTCTTGTCTGCTTGATCTTCAAATACCGTGCTTTACAAATGGGTATTTTTGTAATTTTGTCATTGTTGTTGTCAGCCCATAATTCAAATGGATAATTTGATCATTTCACTTTTACCGTTAAGCAAAGTGATGGGATCTGGAAGTATAGAGGGTATTTGTTGCAAAACAAAGTTTTGGGGCTAAGTTTGTAGCGCTCTAAGTTTAGGGTGGGAATTTGTTATTTTTTTGGGTAAAAATGTTTTAATTAACATATTTTAGGGTAAATTACAGATTATTACCCACCTTGTACTTCAGAAGGGGGGGGGGGGGGATTTGGATCTCCAATCCACATGATAACGTATATGTTTGGTTTCATTTATGTTTATTGAGTAAGTGTTTATCGATGGTGCCACTTAGGCACCCTGTTCAGCAAATGCCTCATTAATTGCATTTGTGTATCGAAGATTTGTAGACTTTGGTTTCTGTGTGTCTCTCCTGTTTCAGAAGCTTCATGAAACAGGTAGGGGCATTTTGCTGATGTGGTGCCTAATGGCGTCTATGTGTCATAAACGCCCTCATTAAATGTATTTCCCAATAAACAGCTGTAGTGTCCAGTTAGTAGGATCGTTGTGGGCAGGAGATCTGGATTCCGAGGGTAGAGGCAATTACCCTTCATTCATTTGTGACAAAGGCCCTTTCCGTTACATTCTAACTTTGAAAAAAATCTCATATGAACTTTCAGATTCCAGCAACATTTTCGATTTCCATGAGTTAAATAAATGCATGTTGTATTTGTTGAAATTTCAGGTTTTCATAGAAATTTTAGTTTTTGTTTTTTGTTACAATTTTCATTTTATAGAAATTTCTTAAGTGGGTATTTTGATAAATTTTCTTCTGTCATTCTACTTAATGGAAAGGGGGTCTTTGTCAAAATCTCAAAGTTTGGGGGTAATTGCCACTGTCCATAAAGTCCAGTTTAGGAAGAATACAATATAAATATGTATAATACAAATATATACAATATAATACAAAAAACAAAATTTTGCACTGTACAAATTTATATTTGTACTCGTTCCAAACTTGGAAAGAGTGCAAATACAAATATATGCTATGCAAAACCTTATATTTTATATTTATAAACTTGTATTTATACTATACATATACTCTTCTATAATAAGCCTATAAAATACAGGATAGTAATTTTTAATTTACCCTTCATCTTAACAGGGTTAACATTTTGCAACTCTCACAAAAGGGTCTTGGTATATATTTCATTCATACAAAAAGCACCCACCAAAGGACGAAAGTTTATTCTCTTTTTGTGCATTAAAGAGGTAGAAAAATTAAAAAAAAAACAAATATATATATATATATATATATATATATATATATTACAGATCAATTTCCCTTGTCTTGTTTACCACGTGCAACTTTGAGGTGTAGTAGGACCTGTTAAATGCCCCATGTTGTGAAAGTTTCGAAGAGCCAAATTTGTTGTGGATCAGCTGGTTAAAGGGCTGTCCACTTCAGCCTCTTTGATTAACTTATCCAAAGTGCCTAGGTAAGATTATTTAACTTATCTGAGTTCTTAGGAAGCTAATTAAATGTAATTGAACCAAAGATTTTCTTCAGTTCAGCCCTCCCAAACAGCCCTTGGGCCAATGGCTATTCAGCATCTTATAGCTAAAGCTAACAGTAAAGTGAAGTTCAGATCACCTGCTAACCCTTCCAACATGCATGATCCGATACCGCATATCCCATTCATGGGGGTCCCCAATTTTGTGGTGGATACACATTTTTTGTTGGCAACATATGATTGTTAGGTATTACATTACATGATGGAGATGGACCAGATGGTTGAAAGGTAGATGCAATAAATGAACATTGAGTTTCCCACATGAAGATGCATGGTTGGGTCATTTTCCCTCAATTGCAACACATCATACAATTGAAGATGGATCAACATGCACATACACATGGAATGTTTTTGGGGTGCAAATTAAAGACCTTTTTCAAATCAAGTCATTCGGTAACCACTATTTGTTACAACCCAAGCCAGGGTTTGATTTTGATTTATCCTCTCTAATGCCTTTCTTTCTCGACATTTTTAAAACCCATTATTAGGTTTTAGGTAATCAACCTTGTACTGGGTAGAATGAAGCATGCTCATGGTCATGGGTGTCCCTAACTCCTGGAGATGGGGAGGCCGGGTTCGCCATAATCATAAGCCCAAGCCCAATAGACCTTAGTTCCCTCCAGTCCTGTTGGGCTTCTGTGGACTATGCGGGGTGTTTTGAATTAGACGTTCCCAAGTCAAGTCACTTTCTCCTTCCTGAGAGTTGAGAGTCACACCACACATGGCAAAGACCTTAGTTCCCTCCAGTTCTGTTGGGCTTCTGTGGACTATGCGGGGTGTTTTGAATTAGACGTTCCCAAGTCAAGCCACTTTCTCCTTCCTGAGAGTTGAGACTCACACCACACATGGCAACGTTGTACAACGTTTCCACTCAAGTCTGAGGTGTGGTTACTTCAGGGTTCTGCTTCTTATTTCTTTCATTTGTTTCCATAGAGTTAGTGCTTTGGGGAAGATATATGGTCTGTGGTGGTTGTGTGCCTTGTGGCTTGGATTGGATTGCAGGTGGAAGCACATCCCAAGTCCCAACCATAGCAAGTAGATACCTAAACCACAAGGCTACATGTTTGGCTTGGGTAGAAAATAAGAGAGACATTAAAAAAAAAGTTGATGGAAAAGTTCATAATAACTTCGGCAAAATTCTTTTACAACCTTCCTTTAAATATCTGTTTTTAGCTTAATTTTCTAACAAAACAAACACATCCTAAAAGTACAACAGATACCAGACAGCCCCTTGGATGGGTGTTTACTAAAGTACCTTGCTTTTTCTTCCTTCACAGCTTCACTCAAGCACAAGCAGCAAGCAGGGGTGGCCTGATGTCCTGGTGGGTGTGTAACAGACCAGCCATTTGGGCTCCGGCTTTTTTTCTCAAAAGGGAACGTCTTGGGTCTGAGAACAGAATCCCAGATGACGAATTCACATCTGCTCCCCACAGCACATCGCAACCGTGTATTAGGAACATCCTCCCAATAACAAGTACGGGAGATGTTCTGGTGGGGCTCAGATGTGAACCAGGTACATGGGCCTAGCCCACTATAACTTGCCACTTGTTCCGTACATCAAGAATCAGGAAGACAGGAATCCCCCACTAGTCACTACAGGATCATCTATCTGGAATTGGATATACACTACAGTCTACACACATTATAACGGTGGGTCCTCATGATGGATCGGAAACAAGGCACTACTGAGTACTGTCACTGGTAGGACCGCAGGGGATTTATCTTTTTTAAGGGGCTGGGCGCCTGGGCCCCTCCCGGGTCGGTCTTCTACTACGGTTCCTCTGTCTTTCGGTCCAGACTCAAGAATCAAAGGTCGAGCCTTTATCGAAAGGCAAGCCTTCTTCGCACGCGTATAAAGAGACTTGGCACGAGCTTAAGTTCTCAGGTTCTGTACGGCCAGATCAGCTATCTACGCTGCACGTGTCTGACCCAAACCCCGACGACGCTTTCCAAGGTTTTCTCCTTCTTTTTATCTATCTCCCACGCTAAAGAGGAGAGAGACAGTACACAACACAACCATCTTCCTTCCATGTTTTTTTTTTTGTTGGCGCAGGTGCAGCCGTGCAGGGTGGGGGAGCAATAACCATTGAGCCAAGAGGGGCGATAGAACTTAGAAGAAGCTCTCGCTCAAGCCTCAAGAGAATCTTCAACTTCATTATTTAAGCTGGAGGAATCACGATTCTATAATTCTCGGTGATTGACCCACCATTGATGAAGCTATACTCTGGTGATGGAGGCGGAAATTCCGACTAACTTTACCTACATGGGGCGGAGCTTCGGTGAACTTAGCATTAATGATGACTCATCTTCTGCTTTCAGTGACTGCAACAGCGATCGATCAGGCGAATTCCCCACGGCCTCTGCGCATAGCCGCCGCCTCCTAGTCGCTTGTGCCTCTGGGGATTCTGACGAACTGATCCGTCAGCTTGTCTCCGATCTCGAGTCCGGCTCGCTCTCCTTGCAGAGGCAGGCGGCCACGGAGATAAGACTCCTAGCTAAGAACAAGCAGGAAAACCGCCTCAAGATCGCTCGAGCTGGCGCGATAAGGCCTCTAATTTCACTAATCTCCTCTTCTGATTCTCAGCTTCAAGAGAATGGTGTCACCGCGATATTAAACCTGTCTCTGTGCGACGAGAATAAGGATCTAATTACCGTGTCGGGAGCAATTAAGCCCTTGGTGAGAGCTCTCAAGTCCGGAACAGCGACCGCGAAGGAGAACGCCGCGTGTGCTCTGCTTCGCCTCTCGCAGATCGAGGAGAACAAAGTTGTAATTGGGCGGTCCGGAGCCGTCCCACTTCTTGTTTACCTACTGGAGAATGGTGGTTCTCGCGGGAAAAAGGACGCATTAACGGCTCTTTACTCTCTCTGTTCAGTGAAGGAGAACAAAATCAGGGCGATTCAAGCCGGGATAATGAAACCGCTTGTGGAAATAATGGCGGGTTTCGAGACGGGTATGGTTGACAAAGCGGCTTACGTTTTGAGCACCCTGGTTTCTGTAGCGGAAGGGAAAACTACTTTGGTCGATGAAGGTGGCATCCCAGTACTGGTGGAGATCGTGGAGGTGGGAACGCAGAGACAGAAAGAGATAGCAACGGCGGTTCTTTTACAGATTTGCGAGGACAACTTGATTTATCGTACCATGGTAAGCCGGGAAGGGGCGATACCGCCGTTGGTGGCTTTGTCACAGTCCGGCACCACTCGCGCCAGAGAGAAGGTTCGTGAAAATCATTCATCTGTTTTCGGTTTACCGTTACAGATTCCCGGTTTTCCGTTGACCTATGCTATTAGTATAGAAATGAATTTTTGCTAAGAACTTTTGTCAGTTTCTTTGCCTCATGGCGGCTTTTGTCGTGTTCTTCACTTCTTCAGGCGGAGGCACTTATTGCTCTACTCCGGCAACCGAGATCCGGGAACAACGAGGCGAGGACGTCAGATGTGTCAGACTAGTGAGTCTCGGCCACCGACCACCGTTAAGAAAAATCAAACGACGAGAACACCCATCGATGGGAGAAAGAAAAAGAAAACGGGTTGAAGTAAAAAAGATGTAAATATAAAGCTATCGAGACTGTAAATTCATGATAGTGAAGTTCTGAAGTGGATCTACTGGTCTATGTCTAATGTCTATGATATGTGATTTGAATTGAAGTAGTCTTGGAAGGTTGGATTGAGATATTTTTTGTTTTTTTAATATTAATGAGTCAAGTAAGGAGGTTTCCTACACGACTCATCCTACTTTTGCCATGTGGAGATGATGTGGCTAATTTGAACCATCCACCAAGTGAATGAGCCTCTCTCACCCAGTGTATAAATTGGCCATCCCTTCACCTTCAATTTACCAGTTCACAGCTGCTCTAGAGGTAACCATTAGGGTTACCCTGTGGGTATCCATCCTACTGGGCAGCAGGTTCTTATTGCTAAACTCGACCCTGCCTGACTTTCATTTTATTGGAAAGTAGAAGAATATGTTTTAAGTGTTTGGATTTAATAATATTTTGAATTTTATGTTAAGGATACATAATTGATAGTTTATATGTTTGTTTTTTTCACGTTTTAATCAAATAATTAAAAATTTTGTTGTTTGTTTATATTGTTTTATTTATTGCTTAATAAGAAAAATAATAGAAAGTTAGATAAAGGTTCCCAAGTCAATGAGGTAATAAAGCAATCATACAATTTTATGAGAGCGATAAAACAACACTAGTATGTATCTAGGTAAGTGTTTATTAGGAAACACTTGTCCAAATAAATGCATTTATCCATATAAGTGATTTATTAAGATGCAAACAAGTAGGAATTGGGAGATTTAGGGAGATAAATAAGCTTAGAATTTACAAAACCATTTCCAAACCCGGCCCTGTTGTCATCCTGTATTAATATATATTTTTTCAAAGGAAAGGGCTATAATTTAATCAGCTTATGTATGGATGTAGAGGGAATAATGTTGATAATGTGACATGATGGGGACATCTTTTTGGTTTTTGATGATGTGTGATTTGGTGTTCCCTACTGGCAGACAATTTGGACATTGGGCTGAGTAGGTTGCCTAGTCGAGCAGCAAGAAAGAGATTAGAATGTCCGAATTGTTTTATCCGGGGTGGGCACTCCAATACTTAAGTTAGGGAACTGGAGATATGATTACTAGAATGCAAGAGAGCTAGAGTGCTTGAGACTTAAATTGTGCGTACCTCTTGAGTTTGGAGGTGAGGCTCTTATATAGGTAGGCTACTGTGAGCCTCATGAAACACATCAGGGATCTCAGGCCCAACTAATGGATTCCGTGTAAACAGATAAGACTTATCTAGCCGAACCCGAAGTGGGCGGGGTGATAGTCAGCTCTTCTAACATGGCATCATGATCCCGGGAAAATCAGAGACGATAACCTGCTTAAGGAGGAGGTAATCTGATAGGTCACTAACTAAACTCAGGTCAAGTTGGTAGAAACGGGTTGCCTCTCATGCCGACCTGACATCTTGTCGGGGCCAAGGTAGTTTGATGGAAGCAAGTTGCCTCATACACCAACCTAAGGTCCCATCTAACTGTTCGCTATTCAGTTTGTTGGGGTGGTCCCGTAGTGACTGATGTAGTTGTGAAGTGTCCAAAGTGGTCTACATATGTAGTATCGAGATGTCTCTTAGCTGTTCAATGATGTCACACGTTATGATGTCATTGGAGGACCAAATTATCCCTCGTCAATTTTCTTGCACTTGCACATTGCATGTTACATGTTGCACGAATTGGGTGCAATGGTGCACCATACATGTGATATATTCAGCATTTCACCATAGAGTTTGTAAGCTTTCCAAACTCTAGAACAATGATGATGACACACAGAGAAAATTTTCTGAAATTAAAAGTTTGAGCGATATAAGATACAATATATGGTAGACATGGACTATGTGGGGTTTGGGGGGGGGATTGAAACATGTGATGAGTAATTGAGTACATATTCTGCAAGAAAACAAATTATATCCTTAATATTGCTTAAAATTAAACCAAAATTGGCTAACGCATGATGGGCTTAGTATTATCAATATAGACTAGAAAATGAATGTTGAGGGCTGTGAATTGTGAAGGAAGAGATTAGTTCAATAGAATTAGAACTGCATAGTTGTACAAGATTTACTTTGTATTATTTGGTAGGTGTTTGACATCGATGTCGTTTTCTCAAAAAACGGCACCATAGATATCAGTGTTACACCAGAGATCTGTTTTCGGAAAATGTCTGTTGTTTGATTAGCTGTTTTTTTTTTTGAAAAATATTTTCTTAGACAATACCTTAAAAGTTAGGAAAGGTATGGTCTGAGAAAACTCCTTTTTTAATGTATCAAATAAAAAACCTGAGAAAATATTTTCTGAAAAAATAATATATTTATGCAACACCATTTTATGAAAAAACACCTCTCAATAAATAACAATTCCAATTAAAAAAGAGAACTATTAAGGAACTTCCTTTCGGATTCCAATTTAAAATGAAAACCAATTCCAAGCTGTCACCTGTCGGATTCAAGAGAAAACATAAAAGAAAAAGAAACAAATTAAAAAAGAAAACTATAAAGGAGTCTATTTTTTTTTTTTTTTTCTTTTGGTATTTCAAAGGAGTCTATTCTGTCGCCACTCGCGAGAGGTCTAAAGGCGAACTACTGAATTTGTAAGAGATCTTGTTGATGGTATGTCAATTCTAACTTGTAGTAGGAGAGCGCTTTCTTTGAAATTTACTACTGCAATTTAAGGGTTATTGACCAACATGAATGATTTTGTTTTTTTTTAAATCAGTGCCTCATCAATAAAAAAAACAAACGACTTATTATTAATTTCCTCTTAACTTACAAGAATTAAAGGCGGCCTATTAATATTTTGTAAATTAATTATCTATTAGAATCTAATAAAAGTAGAAGGAATTATCAACTTGTGTTTATAATTTATGATTAATATTCCTTAACATCTACCGACAAATAAATTTGTAAGACATTTCCCGTGTATTATAGTATTATTTGAGGGTATGACATTATTGGGTTTGTATATGACAAATTGACAACTATAATATGTTAATAAAAAAAAGAAATTCCCCTAAAAATGACCATTTTAGCTAATTCTACTACTGATTTGGGATGCACTTAACAGAATATTTCAATTCCACAGCTGGGTTTTCCGATCTCTCTCTCTCTCTAACTGGATTGTTTGTTGGAGCAATAGGGAAGTCCTGGCAAGCAAATGGATCAGAACAGGTGGAATGGTGGGACTTTGTACAATCCTTAGACACTATGTACAGTACAGATGGAACGGCGATTAATAGTAAGGGAAAGCCCAAGTAAATAGATGGAACATCCCAAGATCTTCTGATACAAGTAATGTAGGATATGTGAAGACAAATACATAAATTATAGATTATATATGAGAGAATATTTTTTGGACTCATCACAGTCACAGCTTAATTAGGAGTTGGGAGTTGGGACTACTCAACTCTTTGTAGGATTTCCTATTCCAAGTAATGCAAAATTTGTTGTTTAGTGATCGAGAAAGAAAAAGAATGATTAATGCAGCTGTTCTCTTATTTTGTTTACTCAGAATATAGAGACATGAATTAATAAATTAAAGAATAACATCAAACTCGAATCCATCATTTATGTACTCCTTGTCTCTTCAATGTCTTCATTGATGACAAAAATCAAGAATTTTCTGATACTTGACCCTACCTAATCTACCACTATCGCATATCCACCCTCAACCCCTTTACAGAATTTGGTTTGAGGATTGATTTGAGATACAACCAAACCAAACACAGATTTTTCTTCTCTTTCGTTTTTATTCGAGTGTCCGGTTTTGCATTCAACTTTGTCATACATTTGCATTCGAGTTTGAGACGAGTGTCCGGTTGTACGTGTGGTCTCATATGCAAGTGCCAACTGCACACTCAGTCACTCAGTTCAGTAAAAACAAGTGCAGCGGATCCCAAGTTCCCAACTCTTTCTTTTTTTGGTTGCTCAGTTATTAACTTGATCCATGTTTTACTATATGCTATACACTTTAATATTTATTATATATTTTGATGTAATTAGATAGCTTAGAACCGTTCTCATTTTTCTTTTCTCTTTTTTTTTTTGTAAACAATTGTTTAAATGAACTAAATGCTTGAACAAAAAAAATCAAACCATTCAACCTGTAATCTCTCTCTCTATATATATTGCTGTGTAGGAATGTCAATGGTCGGGTTAGAGTTTTGATTCTTTGATCCGATTTGGGTTTGGGTTTTGATTGATCCACCCCACTAGGTTATGATACTTTGCATATATACAAAATATTTTTGTAGTTTTTTGATTTTTAACTCTATAGCCTTAAATTTCTAGATTTATTTATACGTTAATTTTAGTTTTCTCCTTTTTTTGGGGGGAGATTTTTAGATTGCTCTCCATCTCAGAAATCTGATTTGAACTGTAAACTTACAACAATTCAAAATTATAAGCAGTTCCACCTATAACACTTATACCGGCCTGTGAATTAGCATCAATTAATTCTGAGCTGACATCTACCTCCAATAGGATGGAGTTAAGATTTTTGAGATAGAGTACAGTCTAAAAACCCTTTCTTTTAAATAGGAAAAGTAACACCTTATAACCTATAAAACAATTTTCTAACTTAAATTAATGGACTTTAAGTCTTCAAAATATATTAAAAAAGTATGACTGAAATGCTATGGGACGGATTGAGTTGGTATCAGATTAGTATAGGGTCATGTTGGGTTGAAAAGTCATGCAAATATATTTGACGGGATCGGGTTGGGGCACTGGAGGGTCGGATTAGGGTTCAGGCAAACCTCTGCCGAACCCAACCCATTGACATCCCTAATACTGTGCATCATTCAACCATCATGTCAATAGTGAGTTTAAAGAGCTAAAACTGAATAAACTGTGTTGTGTGTGCCACCATGAATGTTTTTTTCTTTTTTTTTTTTTGGTTTTAAGAAAATGTTACATCATCAAAGAAACCAAATATGTTTTTAAGCACGTATTTTTTAAAGTTAAAACATTTTTTGGTTTCCACGAAAAAATATTTTTAGTTTGATTCAGGAAAAATATATAACCATGATGTACCAACTTGCATTTAAATGGATTTAAGTTCAATTTCCGTTTGATCAAAATTAAATCTTTATACAAATATCATGTCGTCCATATCAAATCATACTTAAAAAAAAAATAAAAAAGTTTTCTTGTTGAAGAAAATTTCTATGCAATCACGTCTTATGTACTTTCTTTTTTTCATTTTTTTTTCAAATGTTTTATGCTTTTGAATTTTATTAAAATCACAATAAAGA